TCCGATACATTTCTATACCATAGCAACCCGTTTTCTGTTCGGGGATTAAGCGGCCCCGGCCTTGCCTGGCGACACCGATGCCGTAAATTATTATTTCCACGATAAAGGCCGTCGTGGCAGTGCTGCCGAGCGGAATTCTCCCCGGCTGTACTCGTAATTAATGCATCTGACGATAACCGCGGCGCAGATCTAATCGGGCAGATCCCCCGATTGTGCGGCGCGGCGCGCGAAAATAAATGTGCGCGCGCCGTTTGAGAAATGCGTCGGCGACACACGGGCCGACGTAAAAGTGGATGAAACAGATGCACGGACGTAAAGACGCTAAGTATGACATCGATACTCCGGTTCCTTTCGCCTGGCATCGCGAATGCGTCAACGCTAATACATCGTTATCTATATATAGTAAATGGCGAGTCTCGGCCGCGCCGTGAGAAATCGGCTTCTCGGTAGCAAGTGTGCTTCTTTGTTTCTCTCGCCGAAGGAAAACAAGGAAGTCGTTTGGCGCGATACGCACGTCACGTTATACCTACTTTTGCACTTTTGGATCCCGCGGCATCAGAAGAAATCTGTCTCTCTCCCGCGGAAGAACAAGAGAAAAGAGAGCGGCCGCGGCTCTCTTTCTTCCTCTCTCTTTCGGGACCGGAAGAAGAAAAGGCGCGAAAGAGGAAAAGAAGAAAGAGGCAAGGCGAGTCCACGTGGTGACGTCCGAGTGTGCGAACGCGCGGCGAGCGGTCCGCCGCGCCCGGCGCGAGTTCCATAAAGGATTTCCGCCGCTCTTTTCTCCCCCTCGGAGGAGGGTGACTGTGGCGCGCTTAGAGCGTGCCTCTCTCCCGCATTGTATAATAATGTATCGCATATGGCGCATCTTGTAAAACTCTGCGGGCGTTCCTCCCTCCTTCTTTTCCTTTTCCCTCCCGCCGCTCCGTCTTGTCCCAAGCCGAGGATGAAGACCCGAATGAGGTCGTTCCCGGGGTCTCGGTTCATTCATCCGGCTCGACGGGGCCTTAGAGGTGACGAAAGGTCCCGAAAAACCGCCTCCAGGTCACGTTCAACGGGGGGGCCCAGAGTCTGCGGATTTCGCTCAGCCTCGTTCCCGATCAACGTTTTACCCCGGCAACACGCTTTACCTGCATTGGTTGGCCGGGTCGCAGAAGTACGGGGTGTGGTGTTTCACCGAGAGAAGTATAAATAAGGGGGGCAGAATGTTTTATGGGATTTTGAGGGTAACACGGTTGGGTTGCCGAGGGCTTTGGTTCGCGTTATGCGTCACATCGCGACTGTCCCGCACTGTTTCACGTCATGTCTCATGTTTCCGCCCGTAGTGGCCCCCCAAGAATGTAAATTATAGTTCTTCTGGAAAATGCTAATCTCACCTGTTGACAATAGATTAGTGGCGGAAATGTATCTAGTCAAAACTCTCACAATGATAAGTCGACTTTGTTTGCGCTATCTTTGACATACTTACCTGTATTAGTATTCAAATTATTATTATTATTATTATAAATTGTCTGTCAACACAACAAACACTATTTCCATTCTAATTTTGCTCAAGATTGAAAAATATTTTTTTTCTCCTTTAGAAAAATATGTATGTCTATGATATGTTTTGATAAAATATTTTTTTAGTAGTTTGAGAGTGAGTTGTTTTTATGTCTACTGTTGCCACGTATTTTTCACTTTCAATTTTCTTCAACCAACGGTATCTCGCTCGATTAGCGCGAACAGAGCGCGACAGATCCGATTAGATGAAAATATGTGGTCTTACACGCTGTTGGAGACAAACCAGCTCCACCAGCGTGACCATCGTTCTATTGAGAGTAGGGTAGTCAATAGGATCGGAAACGATAACAATGTGTCTCGAGTCAAGAGACCCTCGAAGGAGCGAATACTTAGTCTGCGGTTAGTTCCCCCAGATTAGGTTACGGTCTCACAAGCAGCCCTTCGAATTTACGATTTTTTCCGCTTTCGAAAAAAAGAATATTCCCTTTTTGTAAATATCGCCATTTCAAATCACTCCAGTTTGGAATCCAAATTCGCGTATGTGTGTATTCGCATTTTCATATGTATATATATATATCTTTTTTCATATATTACATATATATTTTTTCCTTGTAATTTAATTTCGTTCTGAATTATCGTTGCGAAATCGAAAATAGACTTTCAGCGTAGAATTTTCATCTTATTCATATGGTATTTTACATTAAGTTGATTTACGTAATCTTTCATTTGTGTAGATTATTCTGTTGCAGCAGTGTTACACATCCTTGTGTGCGTTCCACGTTTCTCTATTTTCCAATCACGCAGATTCTATCGCGAATGGCATTTCGTGTATTCACATCCTCCCTTTGTTCTCTTCATTCATCTTATTTTCATCGATATCTCTGATCTGTGGAAATTTCACTTGCAACACCGCGAATGTATCCATCAATTCGTTCGAGGAGCTTAACAACGGCCGAAAAACCTGAAATGAAATATTAGCGTCGAAGATGCGAAAGCTCGTAAACGTCACTTTTAAAATTCCAGAATTTATAATTTGAAGAAATTATTACGTGAAATTTAGATGTTTAAATTAAACTTTTGAGATGACGAGATAGATCTATTCGATCTATACAATTAAATCTCTTTATTAGATTATTGTTACTACGAACAACTTAATTAGTTTACAAGTTACATTAATTTTGTTTACAAGTTACGTCATTTCATATGGCGATCGTAGAGATTGAGTTACGTGTTTGCTCTTTGTGCTAAAAGATCCGGATTCAAATCCATTCACAATTAGAACATATATCAGATAATTGATATATGTCAAATAAATGATTTTATTGATCATCACCTCGATCGGAAGATAGTAGTAAATCAATGAGGGTATCTTCAATGCCATGACAATCTCTACTAATAAGCTCTTTAGAATCGGTGTTAAAAACTGCAACTCCCACATATCGACAAATATATGCAGGAAAGATCACTACATTTTTTACAAAAGATTATAGAAGGTGTCACTTTAATTCTTTGAAATTAGCCTTTTAGTTAATATATATAAATTAAGTGAGTTTTGTAGACTCAGCTTGAATAACTATGTTACAAATTTTGATGTCTGCCGCTTCAGAGAATCAAGTGTGTGTATGTAAAAGAAACAGCAAAAGCAATATGAAGTATATAGGAAAAAAGGTAGAGATTTAGCGCATGAAAAAAATCCAGATATTTCTCGGACGTGAATGTTTAATGGCCCACGAGATTTACTCACAGCGGAGGTTGAAGAGCTTTTCTATCGCGTCCTTTCTCCCGTCGCCAAAATCCGTCCATTTCCGATCCAGTTACTCCGGTATATCGGGGACGTCGTAAAGGGCCGCGCGCGTGTACGCGTATACGCGAGGACCGGCTCTGGGATCGGCGTTATAAGATCGGGCCACGTCTTTATCTAGGTTCTTTAGTAGGGGCGCGGGGTGGTAATATATTTGGTAAGCGCGGTGCGAGATAAGTGGTTAGGTAGGTAGGTAGCCGCGGCGTGGTTGTCGGCCAGATAGTCGACCGGCTCCGGTAATGGAGACTGCAGGGTGCCGCTAATGCAGTAGCGATGTCACGGCGCCCAGTGCATCGGTATATTCCTCTTTCTCCGCCCTTCCGCTCCCCCTTTGCGCGGAGCCACCGGACGTATCTTCGCCGGCCTTCGCGATATCGGCCGACCTGTATGTTCTTCTCCTTTTCTCTCTCTTGTTTTTTCTTTTCTTTCTCACTTTTTCTCGTCTTTTTCTCGCTTCCTTGACGCTCGACGCGGCCTCTCTTTAGCGGAACTGCATTGAGGACATTGGTTGATACTGAGAGGATATCGCGAAACGATAGCAGTCGGACATGCGGAATTGTGGAATGTGTTTATACTGAATAACGTGATACTGCTGGTCGCGATGAGGCTTATTTTCGTAATGATTACTTTCCTTCTTTTCTCTAGATTAACTGAACGCGGGAGATTTATTGAAAGATAGAGAGGAGCACTGCGTGTAGCCTTAATAATAGTGTACGCGTCGTACATTTGTTGTACATTTGTTTCGCTCTTTGATCGCGTGAGGCAAACGTTTCGTGTCGTAATATTTCTCACCTCGAGAGCCTATTTCTTTCCAACATTCACAAGTATGAAAATCAAACGAATATATAAACGTGAAAAGTGTAAGCTCTGGCTGCGTGCGTCACGATAAACGAGTGATTATATCAAACAATGACATCAGGATCTTTAAATTTATTTTACAACGAATTGAATCACATGTTGTACACAGTTTGAGAAAGTTAAGAGTTAAGATTGAATTAATTTATATGGACGGTCCCTCGTTATTAATTCATTCAATCTTAACTCTTAACTTTTATTCGCCAATTAAGTCCCTCCAATCTGGGCATTTATCGTGAAACAGATCGAAATGGAATTATTCAATCCATTTTTCCTCAAAAATACAAAGAAAAGGGAATAATTTAATAATTGCGATCGAAATCTGTTCTGAATAATTCTATAATACACGCTCTTTGTATCACTTATCTCTTAACTCTATCTGTCTTGTGACTCTCAGTCTTTCTTCGAATCAACCTTTCCTTACGCCAGGCCTATAATAAATCGGTAGTCGGAAATTTTAAGTTTATCTTAAGTGAATTATGAATCATCAGTTGGCTCGTCTGTGGGAAAGAAAAAAGTTGAATTTGATTAGTGTTGAAAAAATCGGTAGTCATATTGTCAGTCGTACAAGTTGGCTGTTGGCCAACTTCACCGATAAGACTTGGGACTACCGCGACTACCTCATTGTAAATCCGGATTTACTTTAATCTTTTAATAATTCCTACTTATCATTTATGTGTGAAGCGTAGACACAATATATCTTGATCTGAAAGACTTCGTATTGCTAACTATTTACTGCTATTCTAGACCTATTACAATATCAATGATCGTCTGATATGATTCGCGCAGTCTAGTCGGTATGCATTACAATATAATATTGATCTCTTCCGTTGTATGTTCGCAGGATGTTCGGCAGCATGAAGCGGTGCGCGCGCTGCCAAGCGGCGATCCTCGCGTCCGAGCTGGTGATGCGCGCGCGCGAGCTCGTTTTCCACGTGCGCTGCTTTTCGTGTGCGGCGTGCGCCGTGCTCTTGACGAAGGGTGACCACTTTGGCATGAGGGACGGCGCCGTGCTCTGTCGGTTGCACTACGAGATGGGCGCCGAACTGCATCCGGCCCAGAGTCCGCCGGTCCCGGTCTACCCACCCGGGCCGCATTACCCCGGTCAACCTTTCCCCTCGCCCGAGTTCCTCCATCACCATCATCATCATCACGCGCCACCGCACCCTCATCATTCGATGCACCCCCAGCACCCGCATAGTCACGTCAGTCCGGTGCCACTACAACCTTCCACGCCCTCCGTACCCGACGCTTCTTCGCCCCCGAAGGTACCCTACTTCAATGGCGCCGCCGCCGTGGTCCCACCGCCTAGGCAGAAGGGTAGACCTAGGAAGAGGAAGCCTAAGGATCTTGAGGCTATGACCGCGAGTCTTGGTGAGTGTAAATTTTCTAAATTGTACCTGATGTAGCGTGGGATCTCCAACAGTAAAACACACGATGAAAACAGCCGGGACAAAATCAAGCGACGACTTACTATTTACAGATATACGCGTATAACGTGACAAGAAGACTATTATTAATGATTCTGGAGAAAGTATAGCGAAGCCGATTCAAACTTAATATTCTCCGTTCTCACGACTACTCCACCATTTTCACAATACTATTTAACAAAAAGTCACTGCGAGATTCCGTGACAATCCAGCAGAAATGCGAAAAGAATCAATAACATTTCTCTGCGGCGTCAAAGTTCCAAAGATCGAAAATGCCTAAGAGCGATATTCATAGTCGAATTTTATATTTAGAACCGTCTTAAGATCCGTTTTAGAATCCGTAATCAGGAGGATTCCGCATTAGCATTTGAAGACATTATTTAAGATAAGAAATGATTCGTAACGTTCAATGATTTCGACGTAATTTTCGAAATTTTAAAATTTTGAAAATTACTCCTGCAATTTGGAAGATTATTCGCGAGTCTGAAATGGGGTACAAGAGTGTAGTCTACCGATCGTGAAGTCTAGATACGTTATTCTCTCGAAAGGCAACCTTCTATCGCGCGCCACGCTGGGGGAACGCATGCGACCGACCTGACGTGATTTATGGGCGGGCGTGGGCGCGCGACGCTTGCCACCGAAGCCTGATAAAATTTGTCGGCGCGACATAAATTCCCGAATCGAAACGCGTACGCGACGCGTGGGCGGCACACCGGTTAGGCTATGAGAGAACTCAATTTCCGATTGTCGAGACCGATCGTGGGAAAACAAGCTGAAGGTTTGGTGGTACCAGCTGGCTTCGACCAAACTTCTACTTGCCACCTCTTCCCCGTGCTCCTTTTTCCGCTCGTTCTCGCTCTGGAGGAGGCCGCGCTCGATGTCGCCGTGTCGTCGTGAAAAAGGATTGTAGCGGCGCGCAGGTGATCGCCCGGTACAGCACAAGTTGCTCTCTGATCTATCGTGGATCATGCAGGCAATTTTTTACGGCCGTTGCTAAGGGCCGCGACGAACCACGCTTCTGAGGCGAGATAAATGGCCGTGTGTTTAGTAACACCTGAGTTATAGTTGTAGTTCGCAGCGTGCGGTCTCGCGCACAAACAAATCGTTCATACAAATCGCTTGTATTAATTGTTTAATAAGCGAAGCCACGGTATTATACGGTCGACTGAATAACGAGCTGCAGTTTCGTGTCGCTATATTGCTACACTAAAAGCGCAATTTGTTCCCGCGATATTCTAACTGGGAAAGAGAAGAGAGTCCGAAGGGACAACTATACAATCGAAATTGGGAAGAAAATTGAAGAAATAATTTTCTGAAAATTATTTTAGTAACGATAATTTATTATTTCACAAATCTATCAAAGATCCTCCGTTCGCCATTTCTCATCTCACGTTACTCGGATGCGTCGTGTAGTCCGTGATTCTCGGATAGAGTTATCGACTAGGCACGGTTTCGAGTACGAGCGATCACGCTGAGCCGCAACGCGACGGAAGCGAGTTCTAACGCTGTTTGATGCGTATCACAGCTCATTAGTTTCTCGAGTGCAAAGAGGCGGATTAGAGGAGGGAAAGGAGAAGGGAAACAGCGTATGCGAAAGCTGGTGGATACAGCGGCCAATTACAGCTCTATGCAGCAAATAGTTTACAGGCACGACACCTCATTCACGCAGCCACGCCGGTCTATGTCTACAACGATGATACTGTCGACATTGCGAGATTAAGTTCGAACAAATTGACTCTGCAGAATAAAACACGAATTCATATATCTAATTCCTTTGATTCCTTTTCCAAACTAGCGAATCTCTATGTCTATAAGATAGTTTTTAATATTTTACTATATAAAGTAAATCAGAATGTTCCGATCAGACTTTGAGATTTTATAAGAAATTTAATTCTCCGAACGAAAAAAGTTTTCTATAAACACGGGTCTATTTAAAATTAAATTTTCCATAAAATCTTAAAATCTAGCCGGAACTTTCAAAGCCATTCTGTGTACATGTTTACGATAAATTCGTTAAACAGACACGTTAGACGAAAAATTCTGACTTTCGATCTGATTCAAATCTGACTGTATCTTTTATTCCGTTTCCGAATTTATTTTGCAGATCTAAACGCGGATTACATAGACATGCCCTTCGGCAGAGGAGGCCCCGGGACCCCCGGCATGCCCGGCTCCAACAGCAGGACGAAGCGAATGAGAACGAGCTTTAAGCATCACCAGTTAAGGACGATGAAGAGTTACTTCGCAGTCAATCACAATCCCGATGCGAAGGATCTCAAGCAGCTTTCCCAGAAAACTGGCTTGCCGAAAAGGGTGTTGCAGGTAAATAGAGACTGTTCGGCTCGTGCGATTCGCAATTCCGCGTTTTCTCTCAATGCGAGTTAAAACGCGATGTTGAAACTGGAATTTCCTCATTTCGATTTCGTTAGCTCTTAACCGTGTCGCGTTTATAGCTTCGAAAGTACTTATGCGCTGATGTAATTGCGACTTTGATCACATTTAATTCTGACACAAAACATATTGTACTTTTTAATTATAATCACTTATTAATTGTACGCGTACAATTAAATTATAAATTTATATAAATTCTTGCAATTAGATGAAATTTCAAACATTTGAATGTTTAGAGCCCTCTTTTCGCACAATATTTTAAATGTATCCTAAAAATATATGGAATTTTTAAAACTTTGTATCGTAAATGTACGTGTGCTTTAAATTACATTCGGTACGACTATAGTTTTGTGTAGAATTGGATAAAATTCACTGGTTGGTTAACTTATTATATATAGACCTTATTATGTATATAAATTACCATGAAAAAAATAACGAGTGCAAAAGAAAAATCGAAAGATGGATAGTCGGTGGTTCTCGCTCTCGGTCCCTTTGCCTCTCTCACATTTCGGGAGGGTGCGCCCTATAAAAATATTCACGTACGCGAGTCACGCGTAGACACACGCGCTTCTCCCAATTAGTGCAGCGCGTACGGCGTGGCTGCGAAGTTAAAAGAACCGCGCGGAACGAAGCGATATTTCCGTCGACGAGAGGCTGCGGCCTTTCTCCGTAATTACGAGCCGGCGTCAATCCGGAGACAGTCAAAACCCCCCGGCGGACAGCTAAGCTGCGTCGTAACGTCGGACCCGCGCCGGCTCGCTCTCGTTAACCCACTACCGTTAAATTATTAGGTTGTTACAAAAGTTTCGCGCGCGCGTTCCTTTGTAAAGCGTGCCATAGACGCGCGGATGAAAAGGGAGAACGATCGGGCGCGGGAGATACTGACGATTTAAAGGTAAATGAGGCGAGGCGAAACGCACTGGCGTGGAAACGAGGAGCTTCGGTCAGGCGAGATTCTTTTCTGTTCTTGGTTGGGCTCTTTATAAATAATATACATTCAATACCTGATGTCAAATTTTAGTTGTAAAGATCAAATGCGAGACTGTAAGAACTTAAAGACTTAAAGTTACGCAATTAAAACTCCGAAATACAGAAGTTTGAATATAAATATTCTTTGAAATCCTAAAGCTCTTTAAACTCTCGGAGTCTCATAACGCAAGATTTCAGAGAGATTCCACTTTTGTAATTTTTAACCACTGGAGATCAAATACCTGGAGTACAAAGTTTAAAACGTAAAGAACTTGATATATATTAAATCATTATTTACGAAGAACAATTCTAATGTCTTTCAAATTTTAATTATATTAATTTCACTTATATTTTATTTAATATAATTTAATTATATTTAATTTTAATTATATTATATTTATTAATACGTATCTAATAAAATCCAAGTTTCTGACCGGAGGATAAAAAAGGGGATAAAATAAAATTATTATTTTATTATTTATTTTGTAATTACTCTTGATTTAAAAATGATTATCGATGATTGTGTTTTATTTTCAAAATTAAATCTCAATTTCCATGGCAAAAGTTGATCAGTGCATAAAGAAATAAAAGGAAGTGACTTTCGTGCACTGCTAAACCATTGTAAGAACATAAATTCAGATTATTTTTAGTGGTGTAGAAAAAAATTGATTCTAAAAAATTATTAAAATAAACAATATAATTATTGAAATATAAAGGGTAATTATATATTTATTTCATCTTATTTTCTCTCTCTCTCTCTCTCTCTCTCTCTCTCTGAGTTCCAAATTTTTAAATCTGATAATAAATTCTTAATGCATATCTTTGTAACGAAACTATCACTTCTTTTAAAATAAAGCAAAACGCAATTTTAAAAAGCAGAATTTGGCAAAAATGACGTTCAAAAATCATCGCCATGTTTCCTCCAATCTTCCGCATAACAATCATTCCAGTTGTTACATAGCCTCGATTCTGCGCCCATTCGTCGAGCCGAAGGAGAGGGTTGGAGGTGGTCGCTATTGTATTCGTAGGGTTCTTGGTCGCCATCTTGCTTGATATTGATCGCGAAACGCACGAATACTTGCTCGCCGCGCGCGCGCACACAGATAACCGGTGTACACGTGCGCGCGCGCGAACTCACGCATTCGAGGGGGGACACGCACGAGTAGTCGGTCCGCGAGTTCTTTCGTTGGAAGTCCGCGGGGGAGGAGACTGTCTTGAAAATGGCGACGTCGGATCGCATCGTCTTTCATCTATCGCGAATATAGAGGAAGCTTCGCGAAGGCGCGCACGCGTGTCTGTGTGCGAGTGCACGTGAATAGGAAGAGGAACTCTTATCTAACGCTGCGCGTTTGTGGATGCATAAGGCGTTCATGAATTCTTTCCTGCATGGCATAAATAACGTTATCTCTCGACTATAGCAACGGGTCATTTGGATCCAAAGCGAAAATTTTTAGACGATTGTACAATCCGTTATGATTGGATATACTGAATGAAATTTTAAATTTGAGATCGAAAACTTTGAACCTCCCTCTGTCGATCACTGTAACGTAGTAAAGTATTTTATACTTTAAATATAGTATATATTTTAAAACTCTTAGGTGTACAGTTTTTATAGTTTCTTTATTGTCGCAAACAAAAACGTACGTTTCATCGGATGATGAACATTAACGCGCCTTTAACCTATTACTTCAAATTATGTAACATAAAAACGTTTTAGAATAAACATATTTTTTCAATCTTCTTCACGGAATTAAACAAAGTCTTAAATGCATTCCCTCTTTCTTGTTTAATCTATGAAAATACTGTCTTCATCTAAAATTCCTTTTTTACTTAATTTTTGGTTGAATTTTATTTCGTTTTTTTCAAAAATATTACTGTCACATTAATGTCATGATCAATATCTTTCATCTCATATCCGGTCACACTTGACGCTATTTATAAAATTTTTCTGTGCTACGATTTTCTAAGGTTACTTGGTTTGCTCTTAATTGAAGGATGAAGGTAACAAAATAGCTTTCTTCATTAAAGAGTCAAGTAGATATTTTTCTTCTTTATTATAAAAATTTTAAAAATAATGAATACCTTTGAAACTATCTTGAATTAAAAATACTAATTGCGTTTTTTATAACATGTTTCTTGTTTAAAATAGTTTTTATAATTTTTATAGTTTAGAGAGAGAGAGGGTTATGAATGCAACACATTTTATTGTTCCTAAAAACGTTTACATTAAGTCTGTAATTAATTGTTTACATTAATTATATTTCTCCTTCTCCTTCAATTGAGAATTTTGCGAGCTCATATGCGAACTTCAACTAAAGTTGTCGTACGTAACGACCGAAACCCTCTGCTCGTCTTGTTCTCAGGTCTGGTTCCAGAACGCGCGAGCAAAATGGCGGCGTATGGTACTGAAGCAGGAGGGCAAGTCCGACAAGTGCGATGGCGGAGTGGACGGCGGTAGTCTCGGCGACCTTGAGCTCTACGGGAACAGCACCGGAAGTGGCGGGCCACCAATGAGTCCTCCCTTCATGCTCGGCGGTCCCCACAGTCCTGCGTCCTTGGCGTCCCTGGATTGCGCGTGATCCTTGATGTCCGAGTCCGTGCTTTCTAGCTAGCGCGTCGGACATCCTCGTCCTGCAACGGGACATCGGTATTGGGACGTGCACCCTTACGGACGGTTTCTCACGTGAGTGAATCACTGGCGAGTGCGTGAAAACGATGAATTGTGAATAGTTGGTGAGCGTGTAAAAAGGAAAGAGGTGTAACTTTTCCGCGAACAGAAATTTGCGAGCGGATTAGCGAAGACCGATCGTGAGCAAGACTCGAGGAGTGCACTTTTTGAGATCGCCGACTTTCTCCTGTCGAATTGCGAGTCCTCTTTTGATGGACGAAACGGGTAAAATGCTTGTTTCTCGTTATCGTTCGTTATAAAACGAACTTCTCGAGGTCTTCGCTTCGAATCAAGACGATATATGTAAAATTTGACGCATTAACGCGTAAATCTGTTTATTGATAAAATCGTTGTATTTATTGTAGCTCGAATTGCGGCGCTCCGTCGCGAAACACTAAAGTCGTTCGTTGAGGGCAATGTAATTAGTGAACGAGATTTATTTATTCGCCTAAGTCTAATTAAGAATCGCGAACATTACCAGTGCTGTGAAAATTCTGCGTTTCGCGAGTCCTCGAACAGTTGTCGTCTAACAACGAGAGAAATTCTCGGTCCTTCAATTACGTTTGAGGGGGACATTGATTATTACATTGGTCGGCGAAACGATTTATTGAGTCATTGATTATCTGTTATACTTTTAACATCGCCGTATGCGTATCTTGTCATTCCTGTTTAAAAATCTCATTTTTTTAATTCTTTAATCATAATATTCACGAATTTACACTCAGATATATTTCTTTCAACTACGTTGTAAAAAATTGTTTACAATAAATGTTTTTTACACAACCTTACATCCCACTTAGGGTTGTCAACAGTTACAACGGAACAAACGCTTACCCAATGCTACGACTGCGTCAACTGACGGACAGGTTCCGTCAATCAGTACTGCCAGGGCCACCACTGGCCAATGACTGGCTAAAATAACTGGGCTACTACCATTTGGTAGTACTAAGCCTAAGTTATCATTCGGTACTTAGTATTGCGCCAGTATCTGTGGCAACCAGTAATAATGGCCCAATCCTAGGCCGATTGTAAAACTCTATGTGGGATAATTTTGAATCATGTGATTATATATTTCTCGGACTTTTAAAATAACTAAAATGTATTCAATTACTTTAAATTTAAGCAAAAATATATCAATCAAGTACATTGGACCTGCGAATACGAACCAAGGAAATTTCGAATCGAATAACAATTAGGATTATTAGGATCAAATTGGCTACTGCAGGAAAGGAACGGTTTTGCTGATCAAAAAAGCTTAGATATAGCTTTGAAAATAATTTTGTTGGACTATCAGAATAATTATGTAAAATATTGATTGCTAGAGAATGTCAAAACTTTTTACAGCTTGAGCTTTCGGATGATCGAATAATTATTTTCAGATCTGCGTGTGTAGTCAACAAAAATTTTAAATACTTTAGCAAAACCATTCGTTTTGTATGCTGGTCGATCGAAATAATCGAGATTGACATCTTTCTGATTGTATCTTATAATTATTTGTGTCGTATTTTCCCCGAAAAAAAAAACAGATATTTGTAAAAATTGAATAAACGCACTTTTGGAGATTAATTGAAACTCATCGAATGCTCGAGCGAAACGCTGGATTTTGACGAGAGGATAATATTAATTATTTATAAAAGGAAAACCGAGCTGCGGACGCGCGTTATTGTAATTGTACAATATTGCTCAAGATCAGACCGCGACAAACCTATAAAGAAGCAACTCCATGGTTATCACTGTAAATAAAGGACGTTCCTCGCGCGTTTCTTTTAAGGCACCGTTATAGGTTGTAGGGCCCTATTAATTGCATTCGGTAGCGGTCGTGCTTCTCTAGGCGAGAGGTAAAAGTAATAGTAAATGAGGATACGCAGGACACTACTGTTATTATTGCTCCTACTACAATATTAGTCCTCCTTGTAACGATGCGGAAGAATTGTCCAACTTTTGCAACATCATTTTTTCATTGAATATATTTTGACAATATACGCCGTGTGTCTGTATGTGTTTGTATTTCCCCTACGTCATTTCCTCTCCATTTTCCCTATCGTCAGTTTTCTTGAAGGTTTCATTTGCGATTAACGTGTTCTCAAAGTTACCGCGGTATGGATATTTAAATTGAAAAAAATGTATAGCTATATCGACTGAATTATAAATGGGAGTTTTTGCGAGATTTTATATTGGAAATATTAATGACGATTAATTAAAAGAGCATTAAGTTCCTGCGCGTAACTTTTTTTTGTACAGAAAACCTGTATCTCGTTTAATGTCGTTTTTCCTTTGGATATAAAACTGGACCTGGAATTGCATATTATTCTTCTATTCGCGAAGTTCACAGAACTAGCTCTCGACAACAGAGTCTGAAACTTTCCACGAAGGAGACGCAATGGAAAGTCGCATGATGGCGTGCAAACCAACGATGGTGAACCAGAATTTCACCTAACAAAAACCGGTGCCCACATTGTCCGTCCTGTCTTACCAGTTGGTCAACCGGTAGGCATGGATTCATTGACCGGCAATAATGGCGGAATATTCCAACGCTCCATTTGTACGCGTAAAAAAAAAAAGAAACATATAAAGTCGTTTCAACATAATACAGTATATAATTTAAATTGGTCGAAGGAAAGGATTTAAATCGCGAGCCTATAACACTGTCTCTCATTCACTGCAATTTTAGAATGTAAATCTGCTTGGAATTTCACGGAATATCGGGGAATAAATACAGATATATTATTAACATAAAATCAAGTCGATCCTCGATAGCTTTATGAAAACGAGTTTCCGCCCGTTATTCATATTTTCCGTCTTATTTATGGGTTTTCTTCATTCAAACTGGCGACATTCGTTGGATTTCTTCTGGACCATGTTGTGGTGTCGACGATTTAATGGCTCGATTATACGGAGCTATGAAAATGCGATGCGTCTGTTAAAGCTGGAATTATATTCCGCATGGACGAACCAAATTACGCAAGACTAAGTAAATACCAAATCCGCGTAAATTATCCTCGTCGAGCACAGACGAGAAATTCTGTACTGCCATGATAGTATTTTTCCTTCCACTAGAGGCTGATAACTATAGCGTTCGTTATGGGATATCATAAACATCCTACTGCCCGGTCTATTATGATATCTCTCCTTTTTGTTCTACAAAAGAATTGCGACACGAGTTGACAGATTTAATATAAAAGAAGCAAAAAACCGAGGTAGTTTCGACAACAATGAGCAAATATACGCTCTTTCAACGATTTTTATAGCGACTAATGACAGAAGTAATGGATGAATTTAATATCAATTACAACATAATAGCTGTAATTTATGATACATTAAACCTGGTAGTCGAGAGAGGAAGAGAGAGAGAGAACAAGAGGTCTCGATCAAGCAAATGATTTATTTATTTGCCTCCAGCTGAGATTTTATTTGTTGTTCGGACTACGATTTCCTGTCTACTCGTCGAGAGCTGTAAAAAAAGGTCTATATAAATGTTGTTTCACGAACGTCGCCCCGCGTTCTGATTTCTAAGAGAACTCCGCGCGTTCACACAGGATTGCGACGCAAGCGGCGATGGCTGTGGCGAACGGCTTTCCTTTGGCCATGCAATATGCATCGTGCTGCATTCAGGACGCATAGCGAGCGCGCCGATGCGATTTCAACGCGCGATTATTCGTTGAATTTCTATTCCAAAAAAGGACGACGGCAGATAAAAGGAACGGCACTATGGCGTCATCTGCGACGACCGAGAGAGACGGACACCCTTCGCAACCAATATAAGCTCCGCGTTACTTTCGAAAAATAAAACTGCTCGTTTATATAGTTGATTTTAGATAAATATTTGACACAGGGCAGAACAATTTTGTTGTGTTATTTAAAAATTTAGCTGGATACCAATTTGAAAAAAATAATTTTGTTAAACCACCAAAATAATTGTTTAGGACGCTCAAGTTGGTAAAATATCAAAACTTTTTAGAACATTGCTGACTATGCTGAGAGTCCAAACATAATCATTTCGATAGTCCAACAAAATTATTTTCAAGTTTGTATCCAAATTTTTAGATACTTCGACAAAATTACTCTTTTCGTGTAAAAATTTTGAGACAGGTAAATTGTCTACGTATTTTTCACTATTCGCTCTTTCTTATTTATTCATTCTCTTAATTTCCTTCCATTAAACTTTAATTCCTCTTTAATTAAAGAAACGTTTGCAATTTTGTCCAAGAAAATCTATACTATTCCTACATATTTGTTCATTGTTTTATTGTCGTGTTTCGAAAAAAGCAGCCTTCAGGAAGATTTCCTCCCCACTGTGTTTTTTCTGGCAGTCTCTTATCCTGCGAAGAATCCACGAGAACACGACTGATGGCACGAAGGGCCGTCCGTTGCATTCGACGAAGTAAATGAGACGTCGATGTTCGACACCGTCGCACTGTCATCGACGATTTTCAGTCCGTGTAGTCCGGCATCGATCATCCGTGTTATCGGTATCTCGATCCTGGAACCGGTCAGAGGACAGAGGACAGTAAACGAGCCTCTCGGCATCGGCCATGGAGATCTAGCAATCCATCGGTCGCCTCCGTCACGCCTCATCGGTTTTCAGAATGAACGGTCTTCGAATGTGACTGGAACACGCGCGAGTTTGTTCCCCCCATTGATTTTGATAGGAGATCGAAAATAGCTCACGATTCCGGCGCCCGTCTCAATCTCGGACTCGTGCGCCCGTGAAACTGATATTTGGATCCATATCGGATGGATGTTGAGAACTTCTCGGAATCGATATTTATCAATAAAGCTCTGGAAGAAATCTGTGAAGATGTTCACATCTACTGAATCTGCAGTGTTAATAAATAAACAATAACCGATATGTGCATAATGGAATAAATAAATATAAATATATATGGAAATAATTTTTATGCATTTTTTGCA